ACCAGTGCGGGCCCCATGCTCTCACCCACCTACTGCTGTGCTCTGTGTACCTTCTTATTGTCCCTTCCCCCTGCCTGCTGAAGTCATTTCCCCACTCCCACCCTGTCTGCCGGTACTGCATAGTTCCCAGCTGCAGTGCTAGGACCACAGGAGCTAGCCTGGCCAGCCCTGATGACTGGAACGATAGCCCATGATGTTTCCCTGCCTCCTTCCCCCCCCCCATATCTGTATTTCCCTCAGCACAGGGAGGCAGGTACAGCCCCAGACCAGAGGCTTTCACCTGGGGCTTAGGGTGGGGGGTCTGGAGTGGGGATGGGACTAGGCTGGAATTGCTGCTGAGGCTGTTTATTTCTGCCACTGGCTCCCTCTGGATTCTGTTGCCCCTGACTTCTGTCATCTTTGACAGGCAGCCAGGGGCAGATAAATATTACTTTTCTAAATTTTTTTAGGGGCCCTGTAGGCCACATGAAATGGCCTGGCAGGCTGGATTTTGCCTGCCCCTGGATTAGACTTTTAAATACTATATGCCCCAAAAGGAGGCTTGACAGCTTTTTGGTAACAAAACTGTCTGAGTAGCTATTGGGGGTGGGTGGGGGGGAGTGTGCACGTGTGTATAGAGAGAGATGTATATAGATGGTGAAAATTTAGATAGTACAAACCAGACTTGAAGAGTGTCAAAGCATGTTGTTTCGAAACTTGCAGGCACAGCAGGGTTCACGAAGGCAATACTGAATGAGAGGGCTGTTTATCTCCAAGTCATAGGAACTAGTGTAATGTGCCTGCCCCTTTCACTGGCTATGTACACATGTTCAAATCATTAAGGAGAATTCTCCTGTTTGGTTTTCCTGAGAGAGAAGCTTACCTGGAAACAGCTGAACAGACATTCAACTGTTGAGCCCCTGAAGACCAAATTGCTTGCAGTGCTGAGGCTGCACAGTTAGGGTCCCTCTATGTACACATCTCAGCGTGCTTTGTAGGCCCAATCTGTCTGCCTGGTGGCAGGTGGTATCAGTGCACAGGGAAGCCCTGCTTAGCTGACCGAGACTGCTTGGAGTCAGCCTCTGTTTCCCTGCAGCACAGTGTGGGATTGTGACGGGGCCATGTTCTACTTCTGCTCAGGTGGAGTAGTAGAGTCAAGCCTGGGCAACAGTCTTGGGTGGGGAGGAGAGGCTGTGGGGAGGAAAGTACCCTGGCATGCTACTTGACTGTGCTGTGACTTCTTTCAGAAGGGCAAGGACATTTGCTCTTCCAGGAGAAACTGTCTTGGGAATGATTTAACCCTGGTTGTTCCCAGGTTATATTCCTCCTGAGGCAGCTACTTTAGCTCTGGGGGGAAAAGTATTGGACAGATCTGTATATTCTAGAGGTGCACTGAGGCCCCCACAGTAAGGGATTGAGGACCCCATGGTGAGGGAAGGAGGGAGTGGGGCTGGAGCAGGGGCAGGTGCTGCCCAGCCAGGTCAGGGTGGGGCAAGGGATGGAGCTGTGGGTGGCTCACATAAGGGGGATGGGGAGGGGGAGCAGCTCCCTCTGCTGTGCATACCCTGGGGGAAGCATGGGGGGGGGCATGTGACCCCTGGATTTGTGCATGGGGTGAGGGTGGGCTGCCCACTGCAGGCTTGGGGCTGTGCCAGGCTCTTCCCAATGGAGAGTCTGGGCTGTGGCTGTGGCTGGGGCAGGTGTTGGTAGGGCAGACGGTCGTGGTGCTGGGAGGTGGGGCTACAAGGTAGCTATGGGAAATTTTGGGGTGGCTATAGCCCACCTTGTAACCCCCACCCACCTCCCAGCGCAGCCGCAACCCAGCCCCTTCTCTGCTGGGAAGAGGCTGCAGCTGGCAGCCCACCCTCAACCTGTAAAACAAATATGGGGGGCACATACCGCCCCCCATATCTCCCCTGGGTGTGTGCAGCATGGGGAGCTGCCTATGGCTCCATCCCATGGCCTGCCCTTTCCCAGCTGGGTGGCCCCTACCCCACTCCCTGCCTCACTGTGGGGGGCCTTGATCTATCCCCTCATGCCCCTTCCCTCCTCCACGCCCACAGACTTACCAAACGGACACTGCTCTCTAAGCTGCCTGGCTGCATATTGGCAATCTGATCGGTATTGGCCAATATGGCTGGTCAATAATCAGCCATTGGTATCAGCCACGAAAATCTTGATCAGTGTACCCCTAGTATATTCATGGTTTCTCCTGAGAGCAGCAGTTCTTTCAGGAGAAACTAAATGTTTGTATATGGCTACTACACTACTGATTTTTAAGTTCTCTCTGTCCATGGTCATATAATTCTTTATCTAATCATTTCCAACAAACAACCCTGCATAATGAACTGTCATTAAAGAGATGTCTTTCTGATTTGTGAGGGTTTTTTCTTTTCTTCTAAAAGGGTATTATGTATGATTCATATTCTTAAGTAAGAGTCTCTTATTTTTCAGTCGCCTCTGGGCTTATGGGCATCAGCTGGAACTTAATACTACTGGTTTTCAACTGATCCCTAACAACTTGCAAATTGTACACTAGTAGTAGTAGTTTATTTTAAATGGCAGATATTTTACAATTTCAGATTTTTAGAAAGCTAAAGAAATATAGAGAAATATATTTATTTCCCTTCCCCACCTTCCCTGGGAAGTAAATGCTCAAAAAATGGATGAAAACAGGAGCAATTAAGTTGGAGTTGTGTTGTAAAAATGTTTGTTTGGGTTTTTTTTGGTTTAAGCCACCACTAATTTGTCAGAAATGCCACATCTAAATGGACTTCAATACTTGTGGATGTTCATATAATGTCTGTAGAAAACTTGACTCTGTTTATGCTAGTAGGAGATAAGTACAAGACAAATATTGTAAACATAAAAAGTTGCTTCATTGCAATTGTTGTAACAGTCGTTTGTTTAAAGAAATACTAGTGTAATTGTGTGTCATTCCTAACCAGAATATAGTTATTCTTTGAAAGCAAGTACAGGGCCTGTTTACTTGGAGTTGTCCCGCACATTTGTTTTGTTGGGTAGCAAATCCTTTACATTAGAAGTTTTTTGAAGTGTCTCTTTTTATGTCTAAATCAATTGCAATGGTAAATGGCCGCTTATTCCTACAAAGCTGCCTTTCCCCAATCAACCCCAGCACCCCTTCCCCCACCTTCAATTTTATTTTGCCCATTATGAAAGGAACCTGTCCAACGATACTTGTAGCTAAGTCAGTTTGTACAGGCAATCCTTGGACTTACGACACAATTGGTTCCTGAAAACCGCGTCTTAAGTTGAAACGTTGCAACTAGGAACCAATTTTCTCATAAGAAACAATGTTATAAATAGGGTATTGGGCCTTGGTTCAGGAACTAATCCCCCGTTTTCACCAAAAATACCCCAGAATTTTGTATTCGATCAATTAGAGATGAGTAATATAGCTACATTAATGTATTTAAATAGCAATCGCATTGATTTGGAAGGTTTTACTTGAGGTGACTTTGCTGGACTTTTTGAAAGGCTCTTGGCTGAAGTCTTCTCAGGAGTCTTGTCTCCAAGTTTTTCTGGAGTCTTGTCTGCTTTCTTAAAGAAAGTGTCCAAGGAAGTTTGGACAGATGTTCTCCAGGGAGATGGGCAACGCAGTGAACTTGTTTGCTGACATGGTGTCGCATCGGATAAGTGTTGTAAAGTCGAAACTGATGTCAGAAAGGTGAAACGGTGTCAATTTATAAACGTCGTAAGTGCGAAATGTTGTAACTCGAAACGTTGTAAGCCGAGGACTGCCTGTAGTTTTAGTTCTAAAATCTTTAGGCTTCTCATGGCTTGTCGCTTTTGAGCCAAAACATGTTGATATTGGAAAAGTGTAGTAAAAAAAAAAAAAAAAAGTGCTTCAGTTTGGTCCTCTCCCAAGAGGCTTTTGGGGGAACTGGGATGTATGGATCCGTCAAACTATTGAAATATTCACCGGAAGTCCAAGGAATAGGCATTAATACATAAATACGTCTTCAGCGACTGCCCAGTTAGTGGAATTGGGCTGCATGCTAATTTGAGTACATACTAATACCAACGATGATATAATACTGGCTGCAAGGCTGAGTTGATTTTTGAATTCTCAACCAGAAACCTTTGATTTAATTTATTTGCTCTATTTTTGTTTTACATCTGTAATTTTGTAGTTCTTGTTGTTGTACTCATTCTTAAGAGGGGCTAATTCTCATCAGTTGGAAACCGTTAAAATATATTGACTTTTGGCTAACTGTAAACATCACACTAAAGTTGGTACTAATTTGCTAATCGGGAGGTTAATATGTGTATGCGAGTGCATGCATACACACACTTATACGGATTATTATACATTCAGATTCTGAATTATTATGTATTTATGCCAGAGGGGGATAAGTGATGCATTTTTTTTATTATAATAGCATTCCTATTTTAATTGTGACTTGTGTTAAGCTGCATGCAAATGAAAAATTAAACTTTAAATATGACAAAGCATTTCAAAATCACTTTCACTGGTTAAATTACCTTTTAAATGTGCTTCATACATAAACTTATTTTTCTTATCAACACAGCTTTGACTACAAAGCAGTTCCTTTAAGCCAAGAAAACATTACCTGGATTTAATATGGTGAATGGTGCATGAATTTGGTTTTGGGGGGTTGTTTTTTTTTTCGGTTGGTTGGTTGTTTTTGAGGTTTTGTGTGCTAATTACTCTGTTCTTCAAAATTTTTAGGCTTAGTAGATCTCGTATCTCTTTATGTATTAGGAGAAGAAAAATGTTTTCCTGAGGTTCAGTTGCCGCCTTGGTTTTGAATGATCTAGTCTCTTGTTCTCTCTTCCCACCCCCCACTTTCCCATGCTCTTATACAAGTATTTTGGACATATCTTTTAAATAACACAACGTAAATAAACCTTAGAGACAATCAGTACTAGTTTTGTGACTCTTGCCTGTACTGTTTCTCCATTGTTCTTGTCGTCTTTCCTCATCGCTGATGTGCATTCTTGCCTTTTTGTGATTTTTTTTTTTCTGTCTACCCTAGCTCGTACATTTTATTAAAGGATGATGAGGAAGGAAACCAAAAATTGTTGCAGATAGATGGACTACTTGTTTCACCTGGCATCTTCAATAACCTGTCATTGGCCAATGCTACAGAGAGGTTTGTTTGTTTGTTTGTTTGTTTGGGTTTTTTGCAAGAAAGCGATAGCAATTGCCATACTAGACTATTACAGAATAACCTTATTCTTAGTTTCTTTCTACTGCTCAGTGGGCCAATTTATAATTTAATTTATGAGGGCTTATGCCACTTCCATACTTGTAAATGCTACATTTGCTATACTTACAAACATCTTTCTCTTGTTTGTTTGACAGCGCACTGATGGTACTCTAAAATTATCTAATTTAAAATTTCATTGGGAGTTACACATTTCCCCTTACCTGATAGATTTATGTATCATTTGTATTGGCATATACTGTGCCAAGGCACCTTTGAAAAGGAGCTCACAGGAGGGGTGGGAGGAAGGAAAACAAAACAAAGAATATGGTTGCTAAGCACTGAGGAAAGAAAATTCTGGCTACACACGCAAGGTAATTTTTGCCCAGTATTTCATTGTAAAAACTGCTATAGGTCATGACTACTGTTGCTATAGAAAGCTAGTTGCATTGAAGTGAGTCTTAAAATAAACAGTAGACAAATGAAACAACGCATTAAGTTTGTAATGCATTCTGGTGTCCTTCAGTTTTGGGTTGCATTCTGTTCTTAGTATGGCTTCTCCATACTTTGGGTCTCTACATTTCATTGGATGTACGTGAAGCCTGCATTTTGCCTTGACAAAAGGGAAAAATGCATAAAAATTCTTAAATAATATAGGTCAAGTCTTTAACAAAAAAAGGAAATAGTATTACTAAAATCGGTCATGAAACTAGCAGCTTCTTAAATTGTATTTCAATTTCTGCTTTAATGTATTTTGTTGTTGTGGAAACGCTTCAAGTTTTATAAGACCTTTATTTTTTTAGTTGTTTAAATTACCTGATATCAAGTGTTCTTTGCTTTCACTTAAATGGAAAGGATTTTAATATGTTTCATTATAAATCATAATTCAACTCAATTTTAAGATTGCCCACTTGGTTTTTACCTCTTCTCTGAAGGCCATTGGGAGATTATAAATGAGATCAGTGTCTCTGTGTGTTTTGAGCCACATCCTTTTTAATCATCCATTTCTATCTTAACCAGAAAGGTGTTTGTGGGATGTGGGTTTTTTTGGCGGGGGCTTGGGTTTTGCTGCTGCTGCTTTGGGAGTAGGGGGTGTGACGTATTTTGTTTTGTTCAACCTTTTAGTTCAGTTGATCCAATTTGATAGTGCCAAATTTGAGAACTACTTCTCTTAAACACATTTAAAAAAAAAAACAAAAAACCCCCCAACCCTTCTGATGTCTTTACAACTAGGAAAAGGTTTTAGTCTCTTTGAACCCTTTAGTCCCGATTTGGAATGGGAAGTGACCTTATTTTTGGACACAACATGCCTTCTTCCTCTTATACACTGTGTTGTTGTACAGTGGACTCCTGAGCCAACTGTGAGACTTGACTTCTGTTCCAGTTTATAAATTAATCTAGATGTGGACAAAACACCAATGCCTCTTTCTGTTTGTTTTTATAAGTATTGGGGTAGCATCTAGATGCCCCAGAGTTCACTAGAGTCTCCTTGACCTACAAAAGTTCAGGGCCCCACCCTAACTCATGGCACTTTATGTAAAACACCATGAGTTAGAGCCCTGACCCAACAGATATTCACCTGTTGGGTTGGGGAAGCTGGAACCTGCCTGCCCTGGCCCTGGCCAGCGGATGGGAGTGCTCTGGCAGCCACCAAGGAGGCTGCCAAACTGCCCCCCTCCCCAGCCCTCTCCCTTCCATCTTCAGGACTATCAGCAGGGGAGGGAGAGGTAAGGGGAGGAAGCAACTGCACAGGGATGCTGGCTGCTTTTGAAGGGCTAGAGTTGAGTGGGAGCAACTGATGGAATGGCGCCCCCTCACCTCATGCCCCACTGTCCCTGTCCCCCCCCC